AAGGTTTTGGATGTCGGGATCGTGTGGACGAAGTTTGGCCGGTTTTCTTGGAATTCTCCGGTGAGTTTCCGTGACTTTTAGAGCTTTAAATTAGTATCATTGTGTTCTACAAGTTAAGAGCTTCATTTTGGTATAAAATACGTGAAAAATGGTGCAAAAACGAGTGAGAAATGGGCAGTTGCAGGTCTGCCCAGAATCCGGTGCTGGTGACATAGTTCCGACGTCTGGAGGTTAAAGGTGATGCGTGTGAGGCCATGCCCTCCCCGGCGCGTGAGCCATAAAAAAAAATTTCTAAAAATATTACGATGTTCGTGAGGTTGTGTAGATCACTGTGGTATATTCATATACCCAAATTGAGCAATGTATGAGAAATTATTAGCTAGTTTTGCTTATGTGCTTTAAAATAACGTTTTTATAGTTAATTCGCATATAGGTGAGGCCTATCCCGAGGACAAGCGTATCCACGGGCGACTCGGGGGTTACGACCAGTCGACATATCATGAGTGGGCTTTTGTTTTCAGTATATACTTAGATACATGATATATTTCCTAGAAATGCATTTTTTAAGGAAAGTATGCGTTGAAATAATATGCCAAATGCTTTTATAATTTGATTATGCATTTCATGGTTGTATATATATATATATATATGTGTGTGTGTGTGTGTGTGTGGTGCTGTGGAGGCACAGGTAAGTTCAGGTAAGTTATGTTTGATTATAGGAATCATCGATGATATGATATGTGATTGACTAATGTTGAGCTCATAAAACTGCACCTAGGGTGTTTGTGATTTAGCCAGAGATGTGAAGTACAGGCCTGTTTATTTACGTCATCTCTCGCACTATATGCTCATATTGGATCCAACTTAAGTGCACAGTCTTGTCGTATAAACCTTTATTATGGTTCCGACTCGTAGGTGACTAGCGATTTATCGTCCGGCTATGAGAGAGTAAAATTGAGCATAACTATATTACACCCAATATTGTCGTACATACCCCTTTTTAGTGGTTTCGACTTATGTGCAGTATATTGCCGTATAGGTCATTGTAGTGACTCCGGCTAGATTGACTTTTAAGCTATGAATTCAGCCGTATAGACCACCTTAGGGGTTCCAGCTAACATATCATATTTCCATGAAATCATTCTTACCTGGATTGTTTACTTTGTTATGATTTCAGATATATATCTATGTATATGCTTATATCTTAATTCTGGGAAAATCTTACATGTTTTACCGCGAGGGGTTAGTATGTTGATAAATGAAATGATTTTGTAAAACATTTGTTTTTGCCCACTCACGTTTTCTGTTTTGTGCCCCTCCAGGTTTTAAGTAAGCTTGCTGTTGGTGGCTTGAGGACGTCGGCAGTTCTGACTTATCCAAATAATAGTAGGACATTCCTGGTACTGTATAATTAGTATTTGTCCTACTGGACTACACCTAGACTTTTATGCTCTGATTAGGAGTGTTTACTGTTGTAACTAACTCCTATCACTTTCTGTTTAGTAGTGCACTCTAGTAATTTGGTTTTTAATTATTCGTATATTTCTTATCTTTATTGCTTCCGCACTATGCACATGGCTACATCACTCTCACGTGACGGCCAGCATGCCTTGATCTCGGTCGGGGTGTGTCAATATGGGTACAAACTAAAACTGAAAAGAAATTGGTACAATTTAAAAAAAGGGCTGCAAATTAAAATGGGTACAAACTAAATATAAAAATATATGATACAAAATTTAGCCATAAGTATATATATACACACACAATATCAAATGTAATGTTTCTAACACTAAATGAATATATTTAGAAATAAAATTTAATTATTTTGCATGTAAAATATTTAATTATGGAAATAATTAATGATGTTTATTAAAACCAATGGACCTTGATCAAAAATTGAAAATGAATAAGATTTTAATCAATGGAGTTGAAAAAAGAGGGATGTGAACCTAATTTACCCCTGCATCACATCTTAAGCACTGAATCTTACATTCAAAGAGAGTTTGAACCTTGGCAACAAAAGTCTTGAATACTGAATAGACATGACACTCCCCTACCCGAATACCTAGATGGAACCTTACATCGGGTCGTGATGGCCGACACTTCTAAGGTAACGTAAGCCAAAACATACGTAAAGGATGTGAAACTATAAGTTCAAGGTAAGGCCTACTAAAAATTTTGCATAGTCTGCCTTGAAAAGTGATTAAAACCAACATGCATAAAGCGTGGTTCACAATTGTTTAACAACAGCACGTCCCCGATCCCCGAAGGGTCACAACTAATGGGTCCCAAATCCTTCATTACAAGCATGTTCATAGTTCAAAACATAAGTAATAATGTGCATGCGGAAACTAAGGTATTCAATAGAAAATTTAAATGTTTTATCCTTGCGCAGATGGATTTACAACAAAGGTCGTACAATAAGGATTTGTCACTCTACATTTTCGGGAGTATATCTGAGCGACCTAGTAATCCTCGACGTCAGCTCGATCACCGTCGGGTCGTTCAACCGATAATGACCTGGCTAATCAGCCTCCCAAGGAACATTTATATGTGTCAGAATTCCAATTGGGCGAGGGAGTGCATCCCATGCCCGTTACATCATCATTTTACGGTCAAAATTGACCAAAAATTCAAAGGTCTCACATTACAAAAAATTCGTAAGTTGATGTATGACATTGTAATGTAGAAAAGGTAAATATGAGTTTGTTATGTGACCCAAAGTTAAAGTAGTAAATATAATTTACCCTTATCGTTTAATTTTTTCTTGTCTTCGATCCCCTTATAACAAAAAAACAAAGATAAAAATGGTACACCGTACACAGTAACAAGAAATAAAACATGGGACACAAATCTATATAAAAGTAACTAGATAGTGTGGTGATTCAATGATAGAAAAACCACATTATTGTGTCACATTGTAACTCACCTTTCTAGGAGGTAATATTTTATTTTAAGGGGAAGGGCATATGGTACAAACGCATAGGAAAAGCTACATAGGGACATGAAGGGCGAGTGTCCTTGCCTTTCGCCTGAAATGAAGTCCAAGAGCGACGGTCCACCCCTCTGCTTTTTGTTTGAATCCTTACTGATGTGCCTCTGAATTTTTTGTTATGAATTCTTTGATGGGTTGTTGAAGGGGGATTGGAATTTGTTAATTTATTTGAGAGACCGTTCGAGGGAAATTGAAAAGAATGTAAATATGAGTCAGTGAGAACCTTACAGGTGGACTTGGAGTTAGACCTGACAATTTCTTACACGACCCGTTAACACGACGCATAAACGACACGAAAAAAAAAGAATTCAGGTCAACACGATAACTAATCGGGTCATTATTGGGTCACACAATAATAACGAGTCCTTAACAGGTTTACACGAGAATGACACGTCAGTAACCTATTTCGACACGATAAGAAAAAAGTTATTTTGATGATTTCAGGTCGGGTCATATTACCCGTTTACTTTATTGGATATTACACGACACGACCTGTTAAACTATCGGGTATGACACGAACACGAAAAACACGACACGAATGCCAGGTCCACTTGGAGTGTTCCAGAATTTTGGAGGGAACGGTTGGGTCAGGAAAGTGGGATTGAATTACATAGAATTTACATGGGTGCCATCGTTTTTGTTTGGTGAAATTGGCGAGTGAGTGGGTGGCATTTTGGAATGAGTAATGGTAAGGAAACTAAATTTATAAACTAAATGAAGTGTCACCAATACAAAATAAATATGTTTATCAACGATTAAGTAATATTCCAATCACCAACTTCCTTGTTATTTAGTTTACAAATTTAATTTCACTAACATTACTCTTTTAGGAATTTGAGAATGTTTTGGGCGTGACAATGGAATGACGTGGGCAAAATTAAAGGGTGGTTTAGTGATGCGGTGGCCGGTTCGCCGATTACTTTTGAGGCATTGCTTTTTGCCAGATATATCGTCTGAGCTTTTGGGTTTGTTATATTGGGCTGGTCAGACATTGTGGGGTTGTAGGCATGGGGCTAATGCTTCTTCATTAAGCCCCAAACAAATTTGAATTGGAAAGATGCAACTAATGTTGAATTAGGTTAAAGAATAAAATAAGAGTTTAATTATTTTTAATTCTATTAGTTGTTCTTATATTTTGATTTATATATGCGATTGAAATAGATATTATATAAAATTTCATGAACAAAAATATTGAATTGGGTGGTTTGGCCATTGTTTTAAAGTCAGCGCATAGCGCTGTTTAGTCCCGCCTAAACATTAGGCGCCAAATCACAATCCTAACTAAAAATCGTTCTATGATGTTCTTGGTCAATAGTACCCCTTTTTGTCAAACAATTTTTAACTTCGCCACTGTACTTACGCTACGTACGTACATACCGGTTCACATGCCGAGGGGTCAGCTTCACAAAGCCAATTTATCGTATTTCAATTTTTCTGTTAATCAAGGTTAAAAAAAACAAGAACTATAGTACTTTATTACAGAATCTAATCAAGAAATATGACCTTTTTGCAACAACAGTTATTACGGTTCAATGGCTCGTCCTTTGTAATAATAAGACAATCTTATTAGTTTGTAATCAACGTCCTCCCTACAGAGAAATTTTTAGTTGTAACGGAAATATAAATGGTATATCACATGTTTTAATAGGAATTATGAGAAATTTTATTTTTTAAGTTATTAACTTTTTAGCACATATATTCCACCATTTATTTAATGACACGTAATATATTATCTCATATGTCGACCACATTGAAAAATCTCTTGTATCTACATGTTGAATATATCAAAGTCAAGAACAAATAGTTGACGTTCGATACGCTTCCGTGTTCCAACTACTTTGCATTAAATTTAACAATCCTTAATAACAAAAAGTTTGACTCAGCCAATTTTCCAAAAAAAAAAAAGAAAAATTGACTCAGCCAATGGATGGCGACTACCACTGTTTTCGCCTTTCTTCTTATTAGTTTAATGTTTTGGTTTCCAGCAAGAACGCAATATATATATCCACAGCCAGCTTTCACAGAATATCATCAGCACATCCACATTTAGCTATTTCATTAAATCTTCTTCAACCTTCAGTATTATACGTAGCTTTCTTATTACCTGTTAACCGATTACCACTTCAAGTGAATAAACATCTTTAGTTACAGATCAAGCAAAAATACATGGCAGGTTTCGACAGTCAAAGATGGTCTCTAAAGGGCACGACTGCTCTCGTCACCGGCGGAACCAAAGGCATCGGGTAATTAAAATTATCTATTTCTTCTCTTATTTGTTTCTGCATCTGATAACTCAGATCAGTTTATTTCATGGGTGTATTATTCTAATTTTTCAAATGCAATTTTTTTCAGATATGCCATTGTGGAAGAGCTGGCAGGACTTGGAGCAACCGTGCATACCTGTGCCCGTAACGAAGTGCAGATTCTTGAGAGGCTTCAAGAATGGGAAAGTAAGGGATTCAAAGTAACTGGCTCGGTTTGTGACTTAACCTCTAAAGCACAAAGGGAGAACCTCGTCAAAACCGTCTCCTCTATTTTTGATGGCAAACTTAACATTCTTGTAAGTTCATTTACGACTAAATAAATAATAGTTTAAACCTTAATTAGCAGCTTAATTAATATGAAGAAGGTTTTGACATGGCTACATATGGTGCAACATGTAGGTAAATAGTGCTGCGACTTGCACACTTAGAGGAACTACAGATTACACTTTGGAAGATTTCTCAAGTATGATGGAAACCAATGTTGAATCTCCCTACCATCTTTCTCAACTTGCAAATCCTCTTTTGAAGGCCTCAGGAAATGCAAGTATTGTCTTTGTTGCCTCCATTGCCGGTGTAGTAGCTCTACCGAAACTCTCTGCCTATGCAGCAACAAAAAGTGAGCAACTAATTAATTTTACAAAATATAGAAGTTTATTTAACTGCAAGACCTCCAAACGTTAATTTCATTTCTATTTTATAGGTGCAGTCATCCAAATTTCAAAGAACTTGGCATGTGAATGGGCAAAAGACGGCATTCGTACTAATGCTGTGGCGCCATGGGCTGTCAACACCGGAGTTAAAGTTGAATCTGTAAATACCTTCCCCTCTGCCTATATATATTCTTGAGTCCTTGTGCCTTACCAAATTTTATCTTTAATAATAATTTGGGCAACTAATCTAACAATTAAACTTGGTTTTGCATTCTCAGGATGGTCATGCTGATGATTTCCGACGCCTAATAGGTCGAACTCCCATCCGCCGTCTTGCACAGCCTAATGAAATTTCATCTCTCGTCACCTTCCTTTGCCTGCCAGCTGCTTCTTACATCAATGGACAAGTTATTAGTGTTGATGGAGGATTTACAGTTAGCGGTTTCTAGCGAACTCATCTCATAAATGCATAGGCTGCAAAATAAGCATCCTGTATATGTATCTGATCACACATTAGCCAACAGTCCCAACAGTTCCTTTATTATTTCCTCTGGATAATAATCAGTCTATCCAATTTATCGATTGTAATTCCACATTCATTTGTTAATAATAAGCTTCATGCAAATTGTCAAATCCAATAGTAATGTTAATGAAAAGCCTAATATGAGTGCTAACTTTGTAAGTTTTAAGAATAAACTTAACTTATACCTCGATTGGATACAGCTAAATGACCAACCTACTCTTGCTCCAGCTTAGTGATACGATCGAGGTTGCTCTTTCTTCACCGCTTATAAATATAGTCAGAGGCCTCCAAACTCAGAACCTTCGTCAAATTCAGTCTCTACTATTAAATAAAACTTTGAGTGATTATTCAATCAACTTAATTGCTTTTCATCACAAACCCAAATTCTTTCCAACAAAAGTCTCTTAGCTTTTCAACTATAATCTCAAAGCCTTCATTCGAAGCAAACACTGCCTATGATCCCTAAAATCTAAAAATTTTATAGCTTTGCCACCCCATGGTACGATTCGGTTGATGTGTCATCTCAATCCCCCACCAGTACAAAAAACTGTTTGTGCAACGCAGGTTGTGTTGCGCAAAGTAAAAAAATGTTGCCTGAAAATTAGCCCCACGACATCTTTGTCGCGCGCAAACCATCGCGCAAAGGTTGTGAAAGCAGGGTTTGCGGTACGAAGAAGTAACATGTGTCTCACAAAAGGCTTTTGCATGACGACAGTACCTGTGTTGCGCAAAAGGTCTTTGCGCGATGACAATACCTGCGTCGCGCAAAAGGTCTTTGTGAAACGAAGAAGTAACATGCGTCGTGCAAAAAGGTCTTTGCGCGAGGACAATACTTGCGTTGCTCAAAAGGTCTTTGCACAACACATGTTACTTTTTCGTCGCACCCCTTTTTTTCTTTTTCTTTTTTGACAAAATATTTTTATTTAATTTTTAATAAATATTGTTTTAAATTATAAACAATAATTAATAAACCAAGAAAAAATATTTAATTATAAAATATATGAAAATGTACATACAAGATGTTTGAACATAAAAGAAAAAACTACGACAAGTAGTCGTCTGGGTTTAATGCATCAGGCTACTGGGTATCAGCTGGGCAAAATGGCTGGAAGGTCAAAGGTGGAGCAAGATCGAGTGCTGGCATCGGGATTTGGAGGTTGGACATCTGTAAGGCCCGTAAGATCATGCTCATCTTCTCGTCCTAGGTCGAAAACTGGGCTACAATCAAGGCTTCCCCGGCATCCCAGGCTACTTCATGGGCCGCAATCTTATCTTTTAAGGTATCCACTTCCTCCGTTAGGGCGATGACCTGTCATGTGATTGATCTGGAAGAGGAGGCACCCGTCTCACAAACCTGCGCCTTCCCCATACCCCGAACAACCTTGCCATGACGACGACCAAGCTTCTCATCTAAGATCTCAGCAGAACATCAATCACCTACAATTTATAATTGAACATTTGACAAGTAAACAAAGGAACCAACTTGCACCCAAATGGCAAGATGATAATCTTAAACACCTTAATTTTGAACGAGGTGCTTCACGTCTAGCATCTTGAATTTATTCACATTCAAATTTTCATTTCAATATATTAGAACCAGAGTATGGAAAGGGTACTGCCTAAAGAATGGCAGCACGGACCACTTGGGAGCATGCAGCATTTGTGCACATGTAATGCACAATACCCTAGAGTCAGAACAAAAAACATAGTATTCTAATTAAATGCATCAAAAAGTGACACGATGAGTGCTCTCATTAACTTCAGAAGCTCAAGTCTAAATGCAATCAACACAAACCTGACAGAAAGCTTAAACATGTAACAAACTAAACTTGATGAAAGGTCCAGGCCAATCATCATGAATCCTTTAAAACATATAGATACAATACAAGTAAAACTAACTGTCTTGCAACTTGCAAGGATATCTTGTTTACCGTACTCTACAAAAAAAACAGGAAACGGTGCACGAATCAAGAATCTATAAAACAAAGCAAGGGATTGGTTAAATAGTTACTTGTTTCAAGCTGGAAGTGCCATATCCACTGTATGAAGATGACAAGAGTGGTTGAACAAGTGACCATTTCTCTTTGTCCAAAGCAATTGCAAAAGGTTCCAAAGTATCTGTAAATCGCATAAAAGAAAGATATGAAAGGAATAACACATTATCAAAACTTTCTTTAAGCACCTCACAACATTATGCAGTGAACTTGCGTTTATTAAATGAAGAAAACCGATGTGAGTGAAAATCATACATATGATGCAATCTAGTCACACAAACAAGCATTGGTGATGGAAAACAAAATATCACTTCTCTTCAAAAGTATCACGTCCTGATCCCGACATACGTCCAGGATCGACACGTGACCTCGCTAAGTATCCGTATCTCTAACATACTCCACCTCCGGGATATGGGCAAAGCACAACTCAAGATCCAATTGCGTAATAATTTTTCGTATACTTTATGGCTGCATCTAATATCCTCGTTAGACTGCATACGTATCCTAAATCGAGATCAAGCTACTCGTAGTTCGTCATACACTACACTCGAACAATCATCACATAATTCACTATATCTCCACACAATACCACAATTTAGGGCATGCATCATATCAAGGAACAGTCAACGAAGCACAACATTAATCTCTAGCCATATTGGTCAACGAGCCTAATCATAATGACAACAATTACAACCAACATAATTCCATAATCACATCAATCAATAACACATGCCATACATCGAAATGCAAGGCTAAAGCGACACAGTTCGGCCGAAGCCTACATTTTTGAAGCTGTCTCAAATGAATCAATCCAAGGAACCAACGAATCAAATGATGTGATTTTGGACCACTCAATGAAATCCATCAACATCGGATTCCGAACCACTCAACGGAACCAAGACACCAAAGGGGATTCCGAACCACTCAACGGAATCCGGAATCCAAACCAGGATACGATTTCAAAAAAGTAAGGGGACCACACCAATTGAGGGCCCAATCTTGGTTTTTGTTTTTGTTTTTTTAGTTTAGAAATGGGTGAGCCCCATTTTCAATTCCAAAACATGATTTTAAGAGTTTATTTTTCAACCGTTTAGGATTTTAAGAGTTTATTTTCAACTGTTTGTTTGATTAAGAAAACATATACAAACAACAACTATTTTTTTGTGTTGTTGATTAGAAAAAAATGTTGTGCTTCGTGTTTAATTTTCTAGAATGAAAAATTCATAAAAAAAATTAAAAAAAATTGATGAAATTTAACATTGGTAGTTTAGAGATCTAAACCGAAAATATAACTAAATTGTGATAAGATAATCCAATCCAATGATTGTTACGAAATGAAAATCTTCGAAGAATGTGTCAATCAGAGAAATAAACCAATAGTTGTTATGAAATGAAATCTTATCTTGTCTGATTTCATAGAAACAAACCAACATATGAGATTGAGATAAGATAATCAAAACCAATGATTGTTATAAAACGAAATCTTATCTTGTCTGATTTCTTAGAAACAAACCAACGGATGAGATTCAGATAAGAGAACCTGCAACGGTGCGTAAGTGATTAAATCTAACTTTGTCAGAATTTGAATTTAATTAGGTTAAAAAGTTCATAAATTAAAATTTAAGATAACACGTCCAATAATCAAGTTTAGAGAAGTTACGACAATAATAAATTTACCGCGTAATTAAATTACTACATAATAAAATATATAGCCCCATATAGAGCCCGAAAGATATATAGACCCTTTTTAGAGCCCCAAAGATTCCTCAGAACTCTAAATTGCCCATCATTAGGATGCTCTTGGGCGTTTGTTGCGCCGGCGTAGTTCGTTAATTTGAGACTTTTTCTTCGGCTTCGTGTCATTTGGAATTTAATACTTGATATGGCTTCGTGCCATTTGAAGTTTGACGGGGCTTTGTGGCATTTGTGTCTTGTAAATATTTGTTGTGAACCCACTTTTACTTTGGTTTTTGACTTTGTCTCGGTGCCATACATCTCATACTTCTTGAATAAATTCAACTTTGATGGATGCCATGTTCATAAAGCCCATATAAGTAATATGGAAGAGCTACTCTTTTTTTTTTTTTAGTTCGTGGATAGCCTTCTCATTTAATTTGGGAGAATTGTATTGCAACAAGTACCAGAAAAATGACTAGTCATAATCATGACTAATGTTTGAAAGCCACGTGATTGGCTAAGGTTCTGGCAGTAGGTATTGGATACCTCTTTTTGTCGCCCACTTGCTCAAATATAATTTCATATGCCTAGCAAAACCAATTTGCTTTCAGTGCCCGGCATAAGCAAAGAAAATAAAGAAAACTTTGCTTTAAAAAAAGGGAACTTTAACGAAAAGCACCCGGTACTGTTCACTTTAACGAAAAACCACATTTTTACACTAAAAAGTCAATCTTGGTACTATTCACTTTACCCTTTATTTTGTCCTTATCATTAAAACTCAAAGTTTTCAAGCCCTTTTCATTAGTTTTCTTTTAAAAAAAATGTCATTCCTGCCAGTAGAAATGATATGTGGATGGTGGACCACAAAGTGTTAACCATGATGGTTCTCTGTCACTATGTGGACCTTGGTTTAGTCAGAGCTTTAAGTCATCTTCCCATTGTAACTTTTCCCTTCTTTATTATATATATTTGTGGTGTTTGGATCGGATCAAAAAGGCTCAAAAGATGGAAAAACATATATGGCAGCCCTCTCCTTTTTATTATATATTTATTCTTCTTTTTGGATTTTTCGACCTCATGCAGTATGGGTCCTTGAACTCATTTAAACCCACCAAACTCCTGACAACAAACTTTACTTTCTCTCTCTTTTTTTTTATGTGACTTTTCCAAGTCCAAAAAATTTCTCTTCCTTTCTACGTGACCAAGCTCCCACGTGAGGTGCAGCTTTAGCTTTCCCCTCTCTTGCGAAATGGCCCCATAAATCCAGCTTTTCTTGACTCTAAATTCCGGTGGTTTTCCTCTAGAAGCAAAAAACAGCCCCGCAATACTTGGGCTCTTAATGATTTCGTAATGTTTTGAAACTCTTTTCAGGTTTATCAGCGGATGAATTCAGAAATGAATAGGGGTAAGATTGGTGAGGTTTGAACTCTTTTGAATTGCTCCAATTTTATCCTATTTTCCTCCTAAATCGCGGAGGCTTCTTATGTAGGTCACCAATTTCTTTTCTTTCTGCTGCCTCGGCTCTTCACCACTTGCTTGTCCTCTTTTGGTGGCTCGAATTCAAAGCAAAAGAGGAAGAAGACAACCAGCAGGTGACCCCCGTTTTCAGTTTTTTTTTTTCTTTTCTGAATTTCATTCGCAGTGGGTTGAAGCCCTGAACTGTGACTGATTGGTTTAATTAATTCGTGCAGAAGTAACAACATCTCTTCGATTGGTTGTTTGGACAAACAAGTGTTAATTCATGGCTTCAAAGGTGGGAATCTGCACTTTTCAATTGCACTCTTAAATTCGTAGTAACGTACTCTTCATGTATGCTATACTTGATTGTTTTTTTTTAGTGCGTTAACGTGAAGGTTGCCATATGAGTGAGCTTCCCCAATTAATTTAGAGATTTCAACAACAAGTTTTCCCTTCTCTGTAAACTAGGGATAGTTTGAACTCTTTTAAACCTAACTTCACGTGGCACATCAAGCTTTTCCCTTCTTTGTAAACTAGGGATAGCTTGAACTCTTTTAAATCCAACTTCACGTGGCAGGGAAGCAAATATCTTTTATCTATTTAGATTAGCAAATTTTTCTTTCTTTGTCTTGTAGCATCTGTCAGTCTTGTTTTAATGCCTTTGGTCAACATTTGATAGCCACACTTTAAGCCCTTTGAAAGACACCTTCTTCCTTTCTTTTGTCTTTATCAAAAGTCGAATTGAGGAACTCTTTTTTTTGTGGAATTGGACCAAGCATGAGTCGGTCAAGGGAGATTTTGGCTTCTTTTCCTTTGCAAACCATCTTTACCATTTTTTCCTTATCTTTCGAACTCTTGACATAAAAGACTTTGGTTGGAATTCTTGAACAATACGTCCTTTTCTTTTTCCTTTCTCTAGAGTAACCTTTGAAGTCAGAACATCAGGAATTAATCACTTTCTTGGAGCATATTGTTCCACTTTTGCTAACAAGCTCATGCACTGCCATGACAACAACGGTTCCTTGGCATGGACGTCGAACATGGATTTCTTTAGATTTGATTGGAATTTCACAGGGTGATTTAGGCCACCTCGAAGAAATTCATGGGATTCTGGGGATTATTTTTGCTGCAGTTAGTGGGGAGTCGGGCTGCTCAAAGTCTTCACCTCCATCTATTTGGTGCAGGAAGATACCAAACAACAAAAAAAACAAGACGGCTAAAAGAAAGATTAGGAAAAACAAATCCGTTGTTGTGGACCTCTGCATGTTCTTCCCCTTCCTTTTATTTTTTCCTTCTATTTGTTTCTCTATGGTGGTCTATGCTGCAACGCTTTTTATGTTGCTCTGTTTTTTATTTTTTTTGTTCTTCCTGCAACGAAACAAGAGAAAAAAAAAACAATAATTTAAATAGAACTTGTTTCATACCTGGTGATGAATATTCTTCTTTGGTTCTTGACTCGAAAGCACGAACGATTGAATTCCTTCTCTTTTTGGCAGCACTTCGTTGCTCTGAGTAATTTCTCTCAATGTTTCTCTATTTTTCTGCAGGGTATCCCCTCTCTTTGTTCTGTCCCCCTTTTTTGTTGCAGCTGATGCCTATTTATAGGCATCATAGGAGAGTTCTAGAGCTTGTTACGTGGGGGGAAAGATGGAGGGCATGACTTCCTGCCACTCTCTCTTAACCTCTCTTAACTGACCCCACGTTTTTTTTCTTTGTTGCAGGAAAGGGGGAAACCTGTTTATTACTTCCCCCTTTTGTAGGAAATTTTCCTTATTTTACTTATTTATATTTTTTTATTTGTTTATGGATATTTAGTTTGTATGTAAAGCCCATTCTTAACTTTTTGGGCTGGTTTACATTTTTATTTTGCCTTGTAGTCTGACCCAATTTGTATGGACTCTATTTTTTTTATGTTGTATATTTTTGTTGTTCAACATTAATATATAAATTATTAATATTTTATTATGATCTCGGTGACCGGAGATGACGAGGAGTCTATCGGGAGTGGTTGTTGAGCATGACGAGGACGAAAGAGGATAGTCTTAGCTAGTCTCATGGTTATTGGGGGGTCTCGCTAAGACCCCTTAGTGAAGGGTTTTGTCCATGCTAATCCCCTTTAGTCTTATTAATGTTAGTCCTAGCATGAAACAAACACAGTGTTGGACTAACAGCTAGTCCAGTCCAGTCCCACTTAGTGACGGGCAAACAAACGCCCCTGGTATTTTAGATGAAATAAATCAGCGCACGCTCCTTTTTTATTTTTCCCAACGCAGCCTTAATTCTATCCATCAACTGTTTCCTTTTCCCTCTCTTTTGATTGTAAAAAATAAATTATGATGCTCTGCTTGCCCTAATTGGAGATTCAATCGAAAATTCTGGAGTTGTATCAGAGATTCCGAAGCACAATCGGAGTTCTTGTAAGCCACTACAACCATCTCCATCTTCTCTCTTTTCTAATTCCATAAGTCTTGCCATGTGTTTCTAGGATTTCTGTCAAATTTGAAAGCCAATTATTATTTTAAATTTCGGATTTATTTCCTAATTGGGAATGTATTGTTGTTAATATGTTTACATGAATTGATTATATACTTGAGGGGTTAAAGAAATCCCCTGCCTTCAAGTTGATTGTCAAGTGAATTCCCTGAAAATGACACGCCCCGACCCTGATATTCCCCGAATACCAGGTTCGACACGTGTTGGCCGACACCCGGGGATGACGAAAGCCATTAATTGATACAAAAGCTAAGAATAGGAAATAAATAAGGGTTAGAAATTTAAAATACAAAGAATTAATAATTTTAGGAACGTGCTCAGAGCATACAACTAACCTAATCTCTAAAAAGGATTAAGATAAAATTGGATGAATAAGGAAGTGGGTCCTACATCGAGAGGATCTGAAGATGCTGCTGCGGAAGTGTCTTCACGCCGGGATTAGGTGCCTTGATTCTAAGTCCTGAATGGGAGCGCAAAACAAAGGTGAGTGGACCAAGTTTATATATATAATAATAATAAAACAGTTATCAATGTACTAACCCCCAAAGTTTATATATAATGAAAACTACTAGCATAATAAATGATGGATTTAATAAAAATCCTAGCATGCCAAATATCTCAAAAATCACATCGCGGAAATCAAAACAATAAATGCATCATAAATCGTCTCGTAAACGCGGTGTGCTGCTAGAAAGATCACTGAATAAATATAACTCCCGGCCCAATGTCTGCACCTCAGTCTCTGTACCCGTAGCCAGAGATAACTCTCTCCCGGCCCAATGCCTGTCTCCGTGTCCCTCAGCCTTTCGCTAGGGATTATTTCTCCCGGCCTACATGCCAACACCAGATCCTCGCCCCAGGCGGCATAGTGTCCACTAGGTACGCACAAATAGTTACGTCTCTCTTAAATAACCACTTTATAGCATAGGTTACCGATCATCGTCTACACTATAAAGAGGGGTTCAAAAACATGTTTTGGCATCCTATCGTCATCTATCAGATAGTCTACCAGTTCATGGTTTTTATAGAAAATATGATATATATTAAAATATAGCTCAATATAAGCTAACAATTATTTCCTCACCATAACACGAGACGAAATCAATAAATTCAGTAAACAGGATTGATATAAATCAATTCACAAAATTCGTAGGCATGCTAATCATTTATGCAATTACTATTAAATCATGTAATTTTAGAAGGGGTCCACTCACAGTACTTAGTTGCCAAAAGCTGCGCCACTAGCGAAGACGGAAACGTCACAATAAATGCCCCTAAGCACATAAAGAGTCCAATAATTAAAACTATATAATAGCAATTGAATTTGGGAAAACGGACATTGGAACCGGATTCAGAACGTCGTTTTACCCTAAGAAGGGTCCCGGACGAAAACCCGAAAAGTCAACCCTAAAGTCAACGTTGACCGGGGGTCAACGGTCAAATTAGGTCAAACGGGTTTTAGGCTTGAAATCCGGATTAGGGTTTAGGTTTAAATAAAATAGGGGATTTGGGATTGGATGGGTTTAGGGTTTAAAAGGATTTTAGGAACCTAGGGTTTTGGGTTAAAATGGTTTTAGGGTGAGAATTGGGGTTTGGGCTTTAGCCCAAACACACACATACTACAAATACACACACACACACACGGGGCATGCATGTGCATGCATAAACACATACACATACACACCTAACACACACACACACACGGGCACAAAATCACAAGGCCTTAAGGCCTTAATAAAAATAAATAAAGAAAAACAGGGCTTTAAGCCCCTTTTAAAACCACCGGCCCAAGGCCCTTTTTAGGGTTTTAAAACCAAATAATAAAACTTAAAACTAAAGGCTAGGGTTTTGGGCTTAAGACAACACGGGCCTAAGGCCCGAGGAAGAGGGAAAGGCCGGGTGGCCTGTTGCCAAGGAAGAAGAAGGCCGGGAATTCGGCCGGAAAACCACCTCACTTTAAACGGCCATAACTTTGTCACTACTCAACGAAATCAAGCGAGAAAAAAGCGAAAGTTGTAGCCCTGGAAGAGAAGAAGAGAACGATACCTCACACGATGTCTAACTCGCCGTGGTTTGGCCGGAAAACGCCTCGAAAGCCGTCGGACTCGCCGGAAACTGGGTAAGATTCAAATGCGTATAACTTCTTCAATACGCAACGAAATTGAGTGAAATAAAAAGGAAAGTTATAGTACTCGACGAGACGAAGAGATTGATACCTTACACGCCGGCCAACTGGCAGTGGTTTGGCCGGAAATGGCCTCGAAAGCCGTCGGACTCGCCGGAGGTTATTTTCCCCGAGTTGAGCAGAGGCAAGAGGAAGAGGAAAGGGACGAGGTTTAGATGGTGATGTCCTCAGCAGATGGCGTGGCTGAGTGTGTTGCTCGGGGAAGAGGGAGTCGTAGCGAGGGAGAGATGAGGTCCGAGAAAGAGCTACGGGAGAGGTGAGGGAGAAGAGAGAGACCGGTAAACATAAAAAAAAAACAAGGTGGGCCCCATGGGCTCACCAATTAAGAACTAAAAACCATTTTTAAATAAAATGGGGTGGGTTTTAACAGAAAAAGTAAGTATATGGCACTTGATTGTTGCGTGAACAGGGATGAAAATCTTTTGTGGTGGGCAAAGTGAAGAGAAAAGGAGTTGGGTTTAGAGACTAGTAGATAAAATTCATTGATTACTTGTTGAACCGGGATGAAGATCTTTGTATGTGCTGCAGTATGTGTAGTGGGAATGAGGAGTAATTTTTGGAGTGTTAGTGGTAAATGATGTGTTAATGGGTTGTTGTGTTAAAGGGAGGGGCCCGTGCCCCACCGGCGACCATATAGCTTTGCCCCTGCATACACGCCATCAGTTCAAGGAATTGACACAATCCCTAATTAACAAGAAGTTTGACTCAGCCCAATTGGAGGGCCACTATTACGCTGTTTGACAGTTTCTTGTGATATTCATTTAATCGTTTGGTTTCAATATAATTTGTTTTGGTCAAGCAAGACTTCTATACATACACACTGATTGCATAGAATATGAGCACAACACATTTTAGTTCATTCTTCTTCAGTCTTCAGTAATATACAGAGCTTTCTTCTTGCCTGTTAGCTAAAGAACATTTGGGGGTTATAAATATTCAGTTTGTGAAGCAAAATACATGGCAGGTTTCGACAGCCAAAGATGGTCTCTCAAGGGCATGACTGCCCTCGTCACCGGTGGAACAAAAGGCATCGGGTAATCAAATTACCTATTCTCTTCTCTTCAGTCTTCACGATAGTTTCTCTTCAGTCTCCAGTTCCTATTAGAGAATAGAGCCTCTCAGATCGTAGATATAATTATGTGTGGGAGGTTCACTGTTAATATCGTATAAATCATCTGGGATAAGACCTCACACTTAATAATAGTTGGTTAGGTTAGGGACATTATTCGTCATGATGATGTTGAGCTATATCATTGGTATAAAAGTTTGGATTTGTATCCTCTCATGAGCCCAAGAAGAGAATCCTCCTGACCAAGGAGTGTAAGGAGTGTTGGCTGTTGGATTTTTATCCAACGGCTACAAACAGAAGGATCCTTTATAGTTATAATAATTATAGTCGTTAGATGAAAATCCAACGGCCCACACTTCTTGATCAGGAGGATCCTCTCTTTGGGCTCAGGAGAGGTTCCAAATCCTAAAAGTTTGTCAGTTCTCATATATATTTGTCTCTGTCTTAACTGGTTGCTAGTTAACTAACATTGTTGTTGGGTGTGCAATTGTATTAGATATGCCATTGTGGAGGAACTAGCAGGACTTGGAGCAACCGTGCACACCTGCGCTCGCAACCAGGCACAGATTCTTGAGAGGCTTCAAGAATGGGAAAGTAAGGGATTCAAAGTGACTGGCTCGGTTTGTGACTTAACCTCTAAAGCACAAAGGGAGAACCTCATCAAAACTGTCTCCTCTATTTTTGAAGGCAAACTTAACATCCTTGTAAGTTCATTTATGTCTAATAAAACCTTAATTCACAACTTATTAATTAATCTGAAAATATGACTTTAGCCCCTAAAATTTAATTTTCTCTACATAAAACCCGACATAAGATTTTTACTAAAATAAAACATATTGACTAGATTTCATATCAATAAATTCATTAATTATGTTTGACTTCACATTTAAAAAAAAATTGGATGCCTAAAATACCCTTATTTGGATGTCTAAAATACCCCTATTATGATATACATAATTAATGTCGCAGATTGTAAGGGAGAATTAATGATTTTACATAATAATAATAATAATAATAATAATGTTATAAATTCATTGCCTAATATATAATAACATAAAACATGTCTAATATATGTTATTATACATGCTTAATTAAGTCAATAAAATTATATTTTACATATTAATGTAGGTAAATTATTTCACACACATATTTTTTTTTAAGTGCCTGATATATGTAAAATTCATGCAAAATAATTTACTTACATAACAAAAGAATGCTATTTGATTCATATAGTGCACCTACGTATACTATTAAAATTTAAAAATGTTAGATTGCTTAAAAAAAGCAAAATAATTTACCCAATATATGTAAAATACATGAAAAATAATTTACCTACATAACAAAAGAATGATATTTGCTTCAAAATCAATTTACTTATAAAATAAAGCAATGTTATTTGGTTTGAAGTTAATTTACCTATTATTTGTACATATATCTTATAAGAATAAAATGTGCCAAATATATGTAATAATATTTGAAAAATATTAATGTACCTACAAAATATATATTATTCGCTAATCATAAATATACATATAGGTAAATTTTACAATATATATATATATATATATATATATATATATATATAATAGGTCAATTACCTTTCTACTTGGTAGTTTTTTCAATTTTAGGTTTTATTTGGATGTTTAGAATTATGTGGGTTTTTATTCCAAAAATAAGAATTGCAATGGTCTATATCTAAAGATAATTAACTAATTACCATAAAATGGATTTTGACTGTGCTACGTATGGTGCAATATGTAGGTAAATAGTGCTGCAACTTGCACACTTAGAGGAACTACAGATTATACTTTGGAAGATTTCTCAAGTATGATGAAAACCAATGTTGAATCTCCATACCATCTTTCTCAACTTGCACATCCTCTCTTGAAGGCCTCAGGAAATGCAAGTATTGTCTTTGTTGCCTCCATTGCCGGTGTGGTAGCTCTACCGAAACTGTCTGCCTATGCAGCAACAAAAAGTAAGTAAGTAATTAGTCTTCCAAAACTGTCTTCCTATTTTTTTTTTCTGAGCTTCTCCAGCAATAACTGCCTCACATGAATAATGTGTCAAATCACTAGTGTTGTTGATTGCAACCTCCAAACATCACTACCACTGCTATCTTATAGGCGCAGTCATCCAAATTTCGAAGAACTTGGCATGCGAATGGGCAAAAGACAACATTCGTACTAATGCTGTGGCACCATGGGCTGTCAACACCGGAGTTAAAGTTGAATCTGTAAATATCCAACCCCTTCTACCTATATATTGTTCAGTCCTTGTGTTTTACCAATTTATTTAATATGTTTTAGGCATATCTTATCTAACAATTAAATTTGATTTTGTATTGTCAGGATGGTCATTCTGATGATTTCAGGCGCCTAATAGGTCGAACTCCCATCCAACGCCTTGCACAGCCTAATGAAATATCATCTCTGATCACTTTCCTCTGCCTTCCTGCTGCTTCTTACATCAATGGACAAGTTATTAGTGTTGATGGAGGATTTACAGTTAGCGGCTTCTAGCGAACTGAACTCATCAATGCATAGGTTGCAAAATCTGGCATCCTATCTATCTGATCACATATCACCTACGAATTCCAACCATATTTCTTCAATTATTACCTATGGGCAATATCAGTCCCTCCAATTTGCTGACAGGTTCACACCTCTAAGCTAGTAGCAAGCCCCGGGGAAAAGTCAATGCAATGTTCATGGTTGTTAAAAAGTCTCTATAATTTAAGCGTTTACTTTGTAAATCGTAAGAACAAGCATAATATGAGTGGCCCCATACTTATGATTGATATAATTCCTTTGTCAACAATTGCGGTTTATAAGATTTTTCTTTTATTGAATGATGTATTTTATTGAAAACCTCAAAAGGCCAAAAACCTAACCAAAAGCACAAATGACCAGACAAGAATAAACATTAAACATGACAAGAGCCGATACGTACTATAATAAGATAGACCATCGTGTGACTAGATCATGACCAGGGAGGAAGGAGGTTGGGAAGCCCATGAGATATTGCATACCCTAGAGTTGGCCGAAAGAGAAACTGCATGTGCAGCTCGATTACTAGAGCGCAAAGCACAATTTGCTTAGAGTTAGTTAATCTCAATATTAACCTATACCATGGACAACAAGTTGACAAAGTCAATAGACGTACTTGAGTACTTTGGTGTCATCGTCATCAATGTCATGCTTTTTTCCTTGATGATAACTAATAAGCATGATTTTTTTAATCTATAAAAAATGTATATAATTATATTTATTTCTTTCATCACGTTATATGTGACTTGTGATGTAATATAACATATATAGCACTTATTGTAGGGAAAAATGAATAATTGAATGGAAAATGAATGAATTAGACATTTTTTCCTAAGTCAAAGTTAAATTATCATTATCATTCAATTTTTTACTCATGCTAGAAAACGAAAAAAAATCTTACAATTGAGGCCAACTACAGCTCATGCTTTCCAACCTAACTTCTGGTTCAAGTTGGCCAAGTTGGCTCATTCTTTGACCGCAAACTAGCAGAATTCTTAGCAAAGATGTGATTTATGGGCTATCCTTTCTTTCATACAGGCATCTATTATTTTATAAGTTTCTTCCTCTTGATCAAATTAGTATACGCTTCCCTACGGCGAATTTTCAAGGTTAATATGTTGACAACAAAAATTGGGTTACGTAGTGCAAGTGTAGCTATTGGGGTTCATACGTGAAATAACATCCTCTGACACCATGAAGAAAGTTGAAATTCTACTATAAAACTAATTGGCTATATGGGAAATAGCCAGCATATTTACAAACACATACAAAATCTCTTCTTTCTCTAATGTGGAATTCATGCTCTCAATACCAATACCAATACCAATTAAACAGAATTTCCGTGCCTAAACTAAAAGAAGCTATTTCTACCACATTTTTAATTACCTGATTTATTACTAGTTGAGATTGATTTGTAGTTACTCTATCTCTTAAGCAGACCACCAGATGATCAGCGTGGTGAGCTATAGAACTTAGGGCTGGTTTGGTATTGCTGTGCTTTGAAAAAAACTGTTGTGAGAATAAGCGGCTGTGAAATAAATCAACAGAGTGTTTGATAAACTTTTTTGTAAAAGTGCTTTTGGAAAGAAAAAAAGCAGTCTGATAATGAGTCTTTTCATTAAAGGAGTACTGTAGCTCTGTGTGCTTTGAAAAAAAACCAGTTTTCCAAAGCTGTAAATAGTAGCTTCAGCTTTTTCCTTTGATTTCAGCTTATTCTCACAGCAGCTTCCAAAATAAGTCATTTTTTTTTTCAGTTTACAAAACACCTAAAACCCTCACAACTTTTTTTCATGAGTGCTTTTTTTTTTAAACACCTCACTCTCAAACTACCCCTTAGCATTACGAATTCACGCTATTGCTAAATACATGATCAAATATATCGGAAGTCAAAGATGCCAAATATTTTGGATCTTGTGCCTTAGCCTTAGCCTTAACCTTAGCGTTTCACATTCGAAATCATGTCAGCCCGTCAAAGTCAATTTAATTTGTAAATAGAAAATCGACGAATAATACATTTTCAAAGTAAACCCTTTGACTGTTCTTCAAAAACAAAAAACAAAAAAACAAAAAGTAAACCCTTTTGACGAACATTCCACGTAAGCAAACATTTTTTTTTTCTTTTTTTTCTTTTTTTTAAGGTAATAGAGTTTGAGTGAAATTTTCATATCTATTATATATATCCCTCAACGACTAATATGCACACAATTACTCATTATTTATTGTATGCATTTGCTTTCCCTTTTTACAATATTTATTGTAAGAAAAATTTATCTACATATCATCTATGCGGTAGGTATCAAAACCTATGTATCCAAATTATCCATAAATTTGGTATCAAACGCATCCACATTATCTACAAATTCATTTTCAAACTCATTCATATTATCCATATAAAAGACTCAAATATAATAATTTTAAGCTAAAAATCATTTTTTTCTACATAAATAACATTAAATTAGAAAACTAATGTTTGACAAAAAAAATTAAAATTAGAGAGTATAAAATAGGCATGAAACAAAATTAGAAATGAAAACCCTAGCTATTAATTGACTTTATCATCTCACAAAGATAAGTCACAAGAAAATATTACCAAACAAAAGTCAGTAATACGCATTGCTGAACTCTTATCAACGTATTGAATTGACAAAACCCTAATAATAAGTTGGACTCAGCCAAAGGATGACTACTACGTAATACCTACCGTATATTTTATCCAATTTTTTTTTTATCAATGATCCTTTCTTCTTTTTAATTAATTAAAATATTTTGGTTTCACTTTGGGTGTTCAGCAAGAATTAAAACATTAAAACTTTGGTTTCAATTTGGGTGTTCAGGAAGAATTAATATATTTAAAACTTTGGTTTCAATTTGGGCGTTCGGCAAGAGTTAATATACACTATATGTATATATATATATGCAAAGATTTCATAGATTATCAGCACATCCACGTTTTAGTTCATTCTTCTTGAGTTCAACCTTCTGCACTAAACTCAGCTTTCTTATTGCCTGTTAAGCAATCAACAGTTCAAGCAAAACATACCAATGGCCGGTTTCAACAGCCAAAGATGGTCTCTAAAGGGTATGACCGCCCTCGTCACTGGTGGAACTAAAGGCATCGGGTTAGCTAGCTCTCTGATCTCAGTCTCGCTCTCTATTTGTTTCGTTACTATTTAATAGATTCATATCAATTTCTCTTGCTGACATTGTTCTTATATATATAACTTGTGCATTAGATATGCCATAGTAGAAGAGCTAGCAGGACTTGGTGCAACCGTGCATACTTGTGCTCGTAACGAAGCACAGATTGTTGAGAGGCTTCAAGAATGGGAAGATAAGGGATTCAAAGTGACAGGCTCAGTTTGTGATCTCACCTGTAAAGCTCAAAGAGAAAACCTCATCAAAACCGTCTCCTGTATTTTCAATGGCAAGCTTAACATCCTTGTAAGTTTATTTATTGCCCTTACTTTTCTCTTTCTTTATGTGTTATGTGTCAAAATTTCCGAGTTGGGTCAATGGTGTACTATTGATCACATTAATATAGTTCCAGCTTAACCACTTGCACAGTCTGGCATGTGGTGCACAAAAGGTGGTGGTGCAATTAAGAGCGAAATCATTCAGTAGAATTGAGTCATGATTTTTTCTATCAAGTTTCCGATGTTTGGATTGCATTGTTCAATATTATCTGTGACTCTACATAATAATTATTATTAGACCTTAAGAGCTAACTATTTTTGCTTTGTTTTTCAATCTTGGTTTAAAATCTAATTTTCTAAGTGATATTTTATTTGGCACAGGTAAATAATGCTGCAATATGTACTCTCAGAAGTACTGCAGATTACACTTTGGAAGATTTTTCAGGCATGATGGGCACCAATGTTGAATCTCCCTACCATCTTTCCCAACTTGCATATCCTCTCTTGAAAGCCTCAGAAGATGCAAGTATTGTATTTGTCTCCTCTATTGCTGGTCTGAAAGCTCTACCCAGACTATCAGCCTATGCAGCAACCAAAGGTAATATATTGCTTATTTTTGTTTTAGTTAAAATAAGATTGCAAATAGTTCTCACCTATACAAAGCCCTAAAAAAAATTTCTGTTTTTTTCCAAATTTGCAGGAGCAGTGATACAGATTGCAAAAAATTTGGCATGTGAATGGGCAAAAGACAACATTCGTACAAACACTGTGGCACCATGGGCTGTCAACACTGGGGCTAAAGTCGAAAATGTATGTAGCACTCCCCTCCGGACAATTATTTTTCTGAGCTTAATTAACCTTGATTTGTAACAATTTAATTAAACTGCATTAGGTATATTGATCTGACACGTTTAAAACTTGATCATTTTAAATTATCAGGATGATCATGCTGAAGATTTCAGACGGCTGATAGGTCGAACTCCCATCCGTCGTCTTGCACAGCCTAATGAAATTTCATCTCTGGTGTCCTTCCTTTGCCTCCCTGCTGCTTCTTTCATCAATGGACAAGTGATTAGCGTTGATGGAGGATTCACTGTTAGTGGTTTCTAGCAAACTCAGTAGTAATATGCAGGGTTGCCAATTTTCAACCTACCATCAGTGTTATCCTTTTCCATTAATTTGAAGATGTATAGATTTACATTTAATCAATTTCTTAATAAATCTTGTCCAAAAAGTATGTAAAATGTGTACATTGGCGTTTATGTTGTTTTTTTTTAAGGATAATACATTTTAACGTCAGTTCAAGCTCAAGTACATATATTTGCCTCAACTGTTGAGATATTTCAAATGTGAACAATTTGGATATTTATGTAGGAAATAGCCAAAACATGAACAGGTGAACCTTTTATTAAGTTTCTCATGGAATTTAGAGATAAGGGCTTAAATAAGATGATCCTTTCAATCTACCTAAAGGGTTTTCTAAATTTGAAGGAGAGTAGTATTCCTGATTATTCGTAATTTAATTGAATTATATATACGGGTCACTGTATGATCAAATTCTATTGAGTCTGACTCATATTGATCATTTATCAAAGACTATAATAAAAAAAAGTACAGAACAAATACAGATTTCTATTGTAATAGAATAGATTGAATAAAATAATTTCTATTTTAGACATAAACAATCTTTTGGCCGACCCCACTTAGTGGGAAAATGCTTTGTTGTTGTAGACATAAACAATCTTTAATTAAAGGGAAATCCTTCTATTAAGACACTAAGACATGTCACAAATAACAATACGTAGATACCGCTACTATTTACAAGAGTGTAACATTGTCCTATTTTTATTGAATAGTTGTTCGTTGTTTGTCACTATTAAATGAGCACGTTATTAGTATATATTGAAAGCTTCACTATTTTATCATGCTGGTTTTATATATAAATACCTAGCATAAAAAATGAACACACTAGTCTGGCGAAGCCAGGAATTGATGGGAGGATGGGCGAAGTTAGGTAGTGTCTACGAATTGCTTCACGATAATTAGATGGATAATCAAACATTCGATGTCTATGTCTAGGGTCTGCAGGAAGATTAACCAATATTCATCTAACTCAGTGCCCTTACTTTGTTGTGAACTACTCGGAATACTTGAAGGAGGACTTCTTAATATTTGAAGGAGGAGGAGGACCGCTTGGAATATTTGAAGGAGAAAGACTACCCGAAATGTTTGAAGGAGGATTTAAGCATTCTTTCTTATAGTATCGTTTCATTACGTAACTGTAAAATGGAGAGGAAAAAAATTCTTACACTCTTAATCCTAGAGTAAACTATACTAATATGCATAATAATTAATCCAACTAACAATTCAATTAAGCTATACCAATAAGCGTACAAATTATTCAATTAATAAATATTCAATTCAACTAATCATATGAATAATTATATACATTATGTAATAATTCAATTAATTAATCAATAATCAAGAATTCAAATTTTAATTTTCACCCTAAAAAATAATTTTAATTTCATATCAATAATCATAAAATCGGATCAATAATCAATAACCATATTAGCGCAAAAATAGCATTACAAATTACAAAGACTAAATATGTCCCCAACAAGATTTCATACTAAAAAATGTGTCATGATAGATTTATTGTCAACTAGAGCAAAAACATCCGTCTATGATTGAAACCATCCAATATTGAAATTGAACTATTTGATCTGTGGACACTGGAGAGGAGACTAGTGTTGTGCTGGTCGGTGGCCTTCGGTGGGGTGGGGTGGGTGGGGATAAGGAATGGTTCTCTGTTTCAAATTTGAACCATTTTGTTTTTGTTTTTTCAAAAAAAAATGTCAAAACTATATATTAAAGAAGTGCACCAAACACACCATTGTACTAAGGGGTGTTTTCAAACCTGAGCTCTATGTAAAACACATCGTTTTACTTAAATGATAAATAGTCTTCTTCTTCCTTCTTCTAATTTGCAGAACACCAGAACTCTGCAGCCCCGCTCCTCTTATATTGCACCCTGTGCCCAGACTGGGTGGTCCTTATAGCATATTATCTGGACTTTCGGGTGGTCCCGGGACCACCCAGGTCCCTTAATAGATCCGCCCCTGATTGAACCAGTGGGTTTTCTGGCGAGGGGAGGGGCAGACCTAGAAATCTAGTCCTGTTTTTCGACGAGGGGAGTGGCGGCCGCCACTCATTGCCTTCATGTGGCTTCGCCACTGCTAGTCTATAGAGAACGGGAAAAACCCTAAATATGCATGGACGACTTTGATTTGTTGATGCAAATAGATCCATTGGTAGGGATGGTAATGGCTTGAAGCTGGCTAGCCAAAATCAGATTATTATGAAAGTTGTTTATTAAACTGTTTGAAATTTGAATAAAAATGATACTAATATCATACAATCTGTTTTATTTCCGGCTTTGTGCTCCATTTCGGGAGAAATTTTTTGTTGTGACATGAACAAAAGGGGTACACCACATGTTTTAATAGGAATTGTGGGAAATTTTATTTTTTTAGTTATTTGTTGTAGGCATAATTTACTGAACAATTATGGAGGCCTGAGAGAGAGAAGGGGTGCGGTACATAGAGAGAAGAAGAGAGATATGTGTAATTGTGGATGTGTTCTATTTCACCCCATTGTGCCTTTATTTGTAGTAGTAGTAGGATAAGTAAAAACCTTTCCTTTTAGGATTACAACATTTAATAGGTAATCTACTTCTAATAGGAATATAAGAGATATTCCAAGATATACTAGGATTTACACAATCACATTCCTAATCTAATAAGACTGCAACATTATTAACTTTTTAGCACATAAATTTCACCATTTGTTTAGTGACACGTGATGTACTACCCCGTGTACCGATCACACTGAAAAAAATTTCTCATCCCGTGCCCCCTTACCTGACTTCGTGCCCCAATCCGGTCCTCCTTGGGTAAGGGGGTTCCCACCCTCTAACACAACTTGATTAGATCCACGACGTTGTGGCACTTTTCTGACCGTCGGTTATAAATATTTGGATCCAATGTTAGATCTCTTTCCACGCAGCTTGCACCGTTATTATTCTAAATCCGAGCTATATTTCAAATCGGACAAAGATTAATATATATATATATATATATATATATACAGGGAGTTTAAGGGGAGGGATCCCCATTTTTTTTGAAAAAATGGGGACACGCTCCCCACCGTTAGATTGACTTTAATGAAATTGTGTGGTTGAGATTAAAACACAGGCCATAGAATCTCAACCACAGGATTTCATTTAATTCAAATCCAACGGTGGGGACCGTGTCCCTATTTTTTTGAAAAAATGAGGATCCCTTCCCTTAAGCAATTCCTATACAACCAGACCTCCTCGACAACTCCCTCTTCGAGAATGTTCCAGCACACTGGTGGCTTAAAAAATGGTAATCTGCACTCGGGGTCCAAATCGCTCCACGTGGCATCGGACGTGGCGCAAGGTGCGTCCCGGTAAATGATACGCCTCGATCTCATGTCTCTCTCAGTCCTTTTGCTTTCTTCTCCGGTCTCGCTGTAACTCCACTGAAGCTTTCGCTAGAGAGAGAAAGTAGAGAGAGAGAGAGAGAGAGAGAGAGAGAGATTTTGTTTTCAGATTTGTTACACGAGAAAACGAGGTCGTTTTGGATCGGCGATGGACTGCAATGAAGGAGGAAGAGGAGGCTCGACGAAAACGGAGGAGCGGGGAGAAGCTCTGGTGTATATGTGGGGATATCTTCCCGGAGTATCGTCGGAGAAGTCTCCGACACTGTCTCTGACGCCGGTGCAGTTCCCGAATCGGATGGACGGTGGGGATTCGTGGAAGGACGTCTGCGGCGGCGGTTGTGGATTCGCCATGGCCATCTCAGGTTTGGTTCTCCAATTCTCAATCTTTAAAACAAGTGATTAATGCTTAATTGCATGTTCAGTTTGTAAATCCTTTTTTTCAATTTGTTTGGATGATGGTTCTGATTAGAGTGTGGCAAGTTAATGACATGGGGGTCGACCGACGACGGGGGGCAGAGCTACGTCGTTTCAGGGAAGCACGGGGTAATGCAACGATCTTCTAATTGCTGAAATGTTTTCGAAATTCGAATTGTTTGGAATTAATTTTTGCGTTTATGTTGCTGCACGTTTGTTAAGGAGGCCCCGGAGCCTTATCGTCTCCCAAATGAGGCTTCAATACTCAAGGCTGCTGCCGGTTGGGCCCATTGCGTTTCTGTTACGGGTAGGTTTTTGCTCGGATTTCTGGTGACCGTTTGGATTGTGAAAATAATGGAATGAATATTCATAATTCAGTACTTAAATTTGTGTTTGAAATGAAATGATTTATGTGTAAATTGGTTAGTTGGCCGATGTGTGGATTACTAGTGTTTCTTAGCACTAGCTGCATTTAGGCAACACGTGTGAAACACCGCGGTAATTCTTTGATCTGAGTTTGATAACATGAAAAAATATGGATAATCTAGGGCCTGTTTGATGACTATTTCGTTTTTAATTTTTAGTCCATTTTTTGCACCTGAGATATGAAGAAAGTTAGGGAGAAAGGAGATATGAAGAAGGGTGGTGAGAGGGAGGGGAAGAAATAAAGAAGAATAAATGAAAACAAAATTTGTATAGCGAAAACAACTTCAAGTAGACTTTGGTATTTAGTTTTCAATTTGTATTCCTTTTCTTGTACATTTTTTCTATGTCTCTCACACTGTACTTCCTCCTCTCCTCTACATCATTCATTTCTCTCATGTATTTCCCCTCTATATCTACAAGAAAAATGAAAACTAAAAAAGCTAAAAACAAAATGGTTATCAAACGGGTCCCCTTGTTTAGGAGCAGAATGTGAACTAATTGTGGTTATTGGTCAATGTACATACTACAGAGAATGGTGAATTATACACTTGGGGTTGGAAAGAGTGTGTCCCCTCTGGGAATCTTATCGGTGATCTGGGTATGGTGGGACGCCTTCAAAGGGATACTACCGGTAATCAAAGTTCATTACTAGTTGAACAAGGTATTTCTGTAACCTGGGTATATCTGGAAAAACATGCACCTTCAAAATTGTACTAGATCAATGTGATTAAGACCTTATTATTTAATACAGTAAACTTGGTGCCTCAAGGCTTCAATCTGACTAGTGGGACAGTATCTAATCTTGACAGCAAAAGGGCCAGAGAGGACATTGCAAAGCGAAGGAAGATTTCGTCTGCTAAACCTGAATCTGAAAGTTCAACAGGTAGTGAAGAATTCTTCACTCGGTCTCCTTGTCTTGTAACTCTGGGTCCTGGAGTGAGAATCACTACTGTTGCAGCTGGCGGACGCCACACTTTAGCATTAACAGGTAATAATGTTTCAGGTTTATATTTAAGACTCTCAGGGCAGTTGCTTTTCTTTGTGGTCACACCATATAGTTTTGTAGGTTTGTAGGATGTACGAAGCTATGGAAGATTTTTGATGTAACGCAAGACTCCTGATGCATCATAATTTTAACCGAAGTTTCAGATATGGGACAGGTGTGGGGTTGGGGCTATGGAGGCGAAGGACAGCTAGGTTTGGGTACCAGGGTAAAGATGGTTTCTTCTCCTCATGTCATACCCTGTATTGAGCCATCTACTTCTGGGAAGGATAGGTCTTCAGTGGTATCTCAAGGTTCAAAGGTTCCTGGAAGTTGTGTGAAGGAGATTGCTTGTGGAGGCCGGCACAGTGCAGTAATAACAGGTCAGCATTTAAGGGATCATATAGAGCTTGTAACCAGAGAATGAAGAGCTGGTTAATAGACTGCGTTTGTAGGTTGTATGCGTTAATATAATCCTACTTATTTGCTTCCCATCCTTAATTACCTTTGGATCCATGCAAAATGCCGGATTGTTCTTGGTTGTTCTATGGGTCCTGTTAATTTGACCAGTTCATTTGTATTCACTTCTTTACCTTTACAAATGATCTTTCAATTTACAGATGCTGGAGCACTGCTTACGTTTGGCTGGGGGCTCTATGGACAGGTGAGCTTGCTATGCTAGTCAAGGTCTAATGCCATGTTGTCCTGCACTGAGTAAATTGTTTGCTCTTCTTACACACTGTTATAATTAGGAGCTCTACTGATTACATTTTCAATTGAATCACATTTTCTTTTCTTCGTTCTTGTTATTTATCTGTGGCATTTCTTTTCTTTTCACGTTTTGATCCAGTGTGGGCAAGGGAATACAAATGATCAGCTAAGACCAAGTTATCTGAATTCATTATCCGGTACTAAAGTGAAAAACATCGCTGCCGGACTATGGCATACTCTATGTATATCTGATGATGGTCGTGTACATGCTTTTGGTGGGAATCAGTTTGGACAGTTGGGAACAGGTGGCGACGAGGCTGAGGTAAGCTCAACACTCTCTCCGTCTAGGTTCTTTTTTCAGCTTTCTGATCTTAACTTGGCCCATCTTGTTGCTGTATGCATGCATTTTATTTCCTCGTATAAATTAACTAAATCATGTTCTTGTTGCTTCAGACTCTACCTAAGATATTGGATTTTCCAGGTTTGGGAAGCAAGCATGCAAAAGTAGCCTCCTGCGGCGCCCGACATAGTGTCATTCTAACAGGTAAGCAAATGAAGCTCAAAAGCGTTGATACTTGCACTAATTGCTGATAATTCTCAAATCTTTTAATTTGATCATTCCCTTTGTTATTTCGGCTGCAGAAGACGGCCACTTATTTAGTTGGGGGTGGAACAAGTATGGCCAGGTATACTAATTAACATGATCAAAATCTTTGAGCCACAAACGTATATTCTTGAACGATCTTTTTTAACTTTTAACGAACTTTTCCATTCCCGGTTGTATGCAGCTTGGCCTGGGCGATTCCGTGGATAGGAACATTCCTTCTCAAGTTTCTATAGAAGGTTGCCTACCGAAAAATATTGCATGTGGCTGGTGGCATACGCTACTTCTAGCCGAAAGACCCATTTGATGATGACGATAGAAAAGGAATGACTTGTTAGGATGACCAACTTCAACTAGCCTGTGTTATTAGGTGCATACTTAGGCTTGTATCATGTGTACATTATTTCTATGCGCGCATTCGCGGAGCCGTACGGGCATGTGTTCCATTCTTTCTAGTTTTTAAGATGCTGGTTTTCATCAAATTGCATAGAAATCTTCTGCAACCCATTTGATAATTTACAGTCTTCTGATGAGGATTGATGGTGATGTCTCCTAGGTCTCGTCGTCGTCATGTGGTTTCGAAGCACAATATTTGACGGCTTACCCGCTTTTCTTGGATGCAAATGGAGGCGCATCATATCCTGCTTGATATTGAACTTCTTCTGCGTTGCAGAAGATGCAGCAGCGGCCAAAACACATCCATTCTGTGAAAACTCAATGGAGCCTGGGCATATTCAAGCCAACATAACATTTAGAACAGCGACAATTACGGCCTTCTTTCAACTAAATTACGATTTTCGTCTTCCTAGTTTCCGAACAACTGTTGGTCTATGTAGTTTCCTTTTTCGCATTTGGTATCTGTAGTTACTAATTGCAACAATTCAAGGACAAAATTCCACAACTCTTTCAACACAATTAGCACATCATAGACAAATGTGAGAGTAAATAGGGTGTTTTACACGAGTAAAACACCCCGCATTACCCGAAACGTGCTATTTTCGTTGAAAATTTTGACCAAATTGAGTAATTGTTCTTAAATTGCAACTAGTAAACCATGTTCTTAAAACTGCGAAAACTGAAACTACATGGACCAAAGTGGAACTTCACCGAAACTATATGATACGACCAAAACCATACTTCGGCCTTTTTGCTATATGGAATTATTGTAGAGACAGTATACCTCAACAACAAAGTGTGCCCACATGTTGCTTGAGCGAGTTTCCATGACACCCTTCAAGATAGTCAGTTCCAACCGTCGGATAGCTTGGGCTATGTCTAAGAAAAGTCCATGTTCATCACATAGCATCTGCAGTAGTTATAGAAGATTTGGATGAAACGTTTCTGCTATGAAGCTTTGCGTTCAGAAAATTAACAAAGACGAGGACACGCAACAGACCTCTATGAGAATGTGTCCCGAGTGTTCAAGATCTTCTACCACAATGGGGCAAATCTGGTGTTCGCTTCCAACTTCAAAAGCCCTGCTTGTCCCATTTTCACAGCCACTTGTGGCTTCGCTCATGTTATTGGAACGAGGTGCCTGAAAAAGCATCAAGGATTTGGTTAGAAACTTGTGATTAGTGCGTTTGTCTTCAACATCAACGCCACCAGCTGGATTCGGAACTATAAAATGGCTTTGCAGATTAAAAAAGCTTTACGAGTCCAGGATACTGTTACATAAGTGTTTTTTGTCTAAGAGAGTCATAGTGCTTGTGGTGGCAGCTATTCATTGATATATTCATTCTACTTATTTCATGCAAAGAGGTCAAGTTGTTCCAAAATTTCTAATGTATGGATGCTTTTGTTCTTCAACCTACAAAGTAGATCGAAAACTGTCTGGAAAATCAGATGGCAATTAATGGAAGCTCTGCAGCACGAAGGAGCGTTACTTGAAATAAACATTGCATACCTCTTGCTGTGTGTAGCACTTCAGTTTTTCAGCTTGATCAGTCATGTTTCTTAAAAACTGCATGTGTTTTATGGTTCGGTCTAAAAGGCCATCAATGCTGCACTGAATTCACCGCATACAAAGCACATTAAGCTAGAGAAAAATAATCAATTCTGTATTGCCTACAACAAATACAAAAAGGATATTCACCTTGGCACCATTTGGGACAAGTTCCCGCAGCTCCTTGACACGATCTTGAATCAGTTGTCTATCTCTTGGTCTTAGCTTCGGGCTATTGCCAATCTTGGTCTTCCTTGCAGTGCCACCGGATAACTTTTGTTCCCTTTTAGGCTTCACAGATTTGTACCCTTTGCCCTGCTGCTCTTCGTCAACCAAAGTGCTCATCATGTCTGTGAAAGAAGCTGGAGTAGCACCCCTGGCAAGTAAAGCAGATGACTGGTTCCATGTCACCGAACCACTTCCTATTGGGGCACACGCTTCAAATTTCAATTGTTTAAAAGAAGCAGGAAATTGACTTGATGAGGTGATAGATGATTTAATATTGTCTGATTGGCTGGATGAGGTTTCATCTTTGGCTGCAAACGCTTTCACGAGGTTCTCAGCATCACTTCCTTTGGAAAACCATGATGGCTCAATACGGCTAGCAAGATCTTTCTGCAAACTAGAGCTGCTACACGTATCATCAATGCCAATGGATGGATCCCATAAATTTTCGTCAGTCTGCCTCTGCGGAAGTGTTCCAAGTGCTTTGTGTAGTTCACAATTTTCAGGAAAGCTAAAGAAATTATTCACCATGTTGTAATTTGTATCTTTAGCATTAACGTCTTCGAACAGTTCAGCTACACCTCCAACAGGGTAAGAAGTGAAATCGCTCATGGATTCTCCAAACACTTCCAAATTGTAACCACCAAATTGAGAATAGGCTAGGAGTTCTTCCTCCAGACAAGACAACCCAAACATCTGACTTTCCATCATACCCAGCAAGCTGGTATCTATCGACTGACTGAGTGGACTTGATTCTCCACTGTGATAAATTGGTGGAACACCAGTCACACTTTCGTCTCTACTCTTTAGAACTTCTGGCTGATCTGTTCCGGTCTCTAGAAGTGAATCTTCAGCAGTTGGCAAAAAGTGCCCCAATGTCGACAATAGGTTATTATATCTGATGTTATCAACATCTTCTGACTTTTCAACTTTCAGTGGGTTAATGGTAACACCTGATGGCTCAAATGTGGTCTCCATTAAATTTGATGATTGTGACCATGACGATTGAGCTTGACGGTAAGGTACAGTTTTCCCCACACCATTGTGAATGTCATTGAATCTATCTTTCACAAAAGCAACCACTGTTGGATCTTCAGCAACCTGAAATCTTGATAAAAAGAGAAAGGGATAAATAAGAAGAATACAAATCGATGTACATGGGACACAGACAGAGAATTCAGACTGAGAAGCACATGCTCCCTAAGATCTGGAAAGGGGAAAGGACATAAACTTGTAAGCTATAAGCTACGACACTATAATGACAAGGGTTACATGACATAAATTGCTTATCTAGAATGAGTTCAGAATGAGCACGAACCGTCTCCAATGAGCCAAGTTGCAAAACTCCATATGGAAGCACAGGTACAAGTAAAATTGTCTGAATGAGAAATCAAATATGTACTCAGATTTCCATCCATCACAAACATGCGAAACTTGAGGAATTAAAGTCACAAGTGTGGGCTAGTATGTGCTGACATACAAGTTACCTTGATACCCGATGAAAACTGAAGAATCCATTCATCTGGACACTGAGAAAATATATTCTTATTTAGATATACTGTTCACTACTAGAAGAAATTTTACCAACTGTATACGAAGATCGCTAAGAATTTACATCAGCTTGTTAGAATAAGATTTACCTCAGGAACTAACTTAGAGCCAGACTCTCTGGTGCACAGATTGTCAAGGAATACCCAGCTATAGTTTCCTGTACATGCCACCTCACCAACAACCCTGAGAAATTATTCAAATCCACAGTGAACCATTTTTCATTCCCTACGATTTTGAGAAACTTAAAATTAAACATATTGTGCAGCTTGCTGATATCTTTCAAGAACAAAACATTTGCAAATAGCACCAGTTTTTATAAGTGGTGGTCATTAATGTGTGTAGACAAAGAGTTTACGCGAACAACAACTGTAAGACTAATGGAAATTTTGCACCTCCGCTGAAATTTCTTTGGTTACTTATATATTTGCATATATTTCTTGTAAAACACATGTACAGACTTTTTTGGAGAGTCAACGGAGGCACACAACAAGACTAGAGTCAAGAACAAGATTGTACCCTTTTCCAAATGTGTGCTGAAGATATGACATGTCAGCCACTGCTAGTCCAATTGGATATCCTGTAGATCCACCATCATGTATACTTGTTGCAAAACCTTTAAAAAGCATCTGATTTGCGTTGCTGAAATAAATATCATCCGATGCATGTTCCACAGCTTCTCTTGGCTTTGGGTGATGACAGTACCCATCCTCCCACAACAAAATCCTTAGACAACAAGAAGACCAGTATCATAACGAAGATCCGTCACTATAGATTTGATATAGGTGAGATACACAATAACCTCGGCACAGAAAGTCCATTAGGATGTCAATCCTAAATTCCTAATAACATACAAATGTTGAAACCTCTCTATGCATTTATAAATATGTTTCGTATCTTAATGTGATTCGAATCAAACAGAATGCATATAGTACACCAAGGAAGCAGCAAGATCATCATCAAAACTAAAATCGCAAAAGCATTTTGACTAACTAATTAATTACTTTCCGAATTCTAAAGACGGATAAACAGATTAAAATTTTCTACTATAATTCATAGCGAAAACGGGATAAAAGAAGAGAAAAGAAGCTTACAATTCACTCTGGTGCTTGAGCTTCCAAAACACCGCATAATTCCAAGGCGAATTGCTGCAGAGGTTATTCAGCAACTGCCTCAGAGCAGTAGTCCCCATTATCTTCTCAACTTCCTCAAAAGTCTCTCAAATACAACAACTAGTAACAAAATCAATCAATCACTTCTAGAAAAAGCACGCAAAAACAAACAAACACCTTATCTAGCTGCCCCGATACGAAGCCCGACCCGCCTGTTTAATCCGCAATCCAGCTCTTCGTTTAATCGGTGGACCGGTCGAAAACAATTCCATCACTAAACACTAACCCGCTCGCTCTCTCTCTCAGCTACTAACCAGCGTAATCAAAAAGCACTTAAACGAAAAAGCAATTAAACAAATCGAGAATCGATAAGAAGCTCTGCCTCTACTCGTTCGACCGATTCAAATAAGCAGTTCATAACTCTGTTTCGATTAATTCGAATTAAAAATCGCTGCCACACATACAAACAAACACACAATTCTTAGGATCCTTTCATGAAAATTCGATCAGCTACTGCAAGAAAACTGAGAAAGCAGTTACCTCTAGAAACGAAGACGCTGATCGAGTTCGTATTCGGTGGCTTCCATTTCTCTCTGTGTATTGAGTGTTTGGTTGGGCCTTCTTCTTCTTTGTCGCGCTCCCGAACTGCAGAAGCTCCGAATGTCCAAACGCAACATAAACGAAACAACAACGGCTTGTATGCTTTTCTTATACAATATGCAGCCACCGGTGAAACGGTCACGTTTTTTTATATTTTTTTTAATTTTTTTTTTTTTATGGCGGATTTCAAACGTGTCCAAAGTCGGATTCTATAACTCGGTTGGAGGGAGAGGGAGTGGGTTTGGGGACCCACAAATTTGTTTTTCTATGGGATGTGGGGGCCACTGTCTGCTAGTCCTGTTAATGGTTATTAACGACCTTTTGTTTTACAGGGTCGTATTTCGTGATAAAATGAGAATTCTTTTTTTATTTTCTTTGTAAGGATTGTAAGAATCTTTTAATTATATTAGTTCATCATATATCGTGCAGTCAGAAATTATTTTAAATTATTTTATTTAAAATTAAATATAAATAAGAACTTATGAAAAATGACTGCACGATGTACAATAAATAGATGTGATTGGAGAATCCTCGAAATCCTTACAAAGAGGATCATCATTCTTCATGATATTGCACGATAGTATATTAAGTATGATACTTATATACAGAAATTAGACAGTCTGAGTAGTTTGATTGAGTGTGTGATACTTATATATAAAAAAACAAGCCTTCTGAGTTCGGTACCTATAATATTGTTGCTACTACACTAGTTTGACTTCAATGACTGTGAGAGTCATACTGTAGAACATACTAAATATAAGTATCACACTCATAAGTTCAATATATTAAACTCATGAATTCAATATACTGATATCAGACTTAAATCTTTCGGTCCATTATAGGAATGTGATTTTTATATGAGCTCAATATTAAAAGACAAGTGGAGTGTTCACAAGGGGTACTATAGAACATGTACGAGCCCCTCAATACTTGGTCAAGTGGCCTAACTCATATATGCTATTAACTATATCACATAAAAATAAAAATAAAAACGGTGGCCATACAGGAGGAATGGGTTAATCTGAGCCTGGTTGGAATTGTGGAACAGTATTGAGGCTAGCCTTGAGGTTGGTCTAGATGGGGAGGAGAGAAAGGAGGAAAGAGAATGAAAGGGATAATAGCAATGGTGTTAACACCAATCCTACTATGGCGATGACCATTGTTATTGTAGTGGCATAGATGAAGTGAAATGCAAGCAAAGCTGCAAATGCGTAAAATCTAAACGTAGAGCTGGATCGGGTGACTATTTCGGAAGGAGATGAAAGTCTAGAAACTTATCTAGATTTGGCATCTATAAGCGGTATTTGAAATCAATCATGCATTGTCATTTCTTTAACTTTGCACATAGTCATCTATAATTGACTTGAAGTGGCAGCGAACTAAATGTTCATATTGCATAAAAGTTCTACTCGAAGGGGAGAAGCAGCGTAAGTAGTTAAAAATAAAAGGTTAACTACATTTTACCCTCCACTTTAAAGTGATTGTTAAAATGGGTCACGAAGTTTCAAATTTCTCCCACTTCACGATTACGTTTTAAAATTGTATCAATTTGTCTTTCATTATTTGATTGCATGATCCTCAGTTGATTGATGATGTGGGACCCTTTTCTAGGTTATGTAGAAGCCACAATTATATATACCATTGTGACCAGACATTGTGGTAAGTTCTATATGGAATATGATTGAAGAGAAGTTGAAGATCCACGATGATAAGTCTGATGACTAGTTTTGGTTCATGTGTTGTAACTATGTCTTTCACATCAACTCATAAGTAGATCATATGTTTGTGGAAAAAGTTAAAGTTCTATTATAAAACCAATGGGCAATATGGGAAGTAGTCCAACTTTACTTACAAGCCCATGCAAGGTCTATCCTCTCATCAATATGGGATTCATTACCAACACGCTCACTCACGTGTGGCGAATTTTCAATCCTAACACGTAGACAACACAGTCTAGTTCAAGGAATTCGAGATCTTTTTCTGGTGCGTTGGTCAACGGGAATAAGGGGTATGGGCTGGGTTTCATTCGCTGATCAGAAAGCTAAAGAAGAGTTGTTGGGTTGGAGAACAAAAGGAAGGAATGACATATCAGTTCTCTAGCTAAGATGTATACCCGATAAAATAAGTGGACCGGGTAAATTAGTTTGGTGCTTATTTAATACAAGAGGGCATCAAACGACCTACTCCGTACTATTAGTTATATCCGATCTATTATACGAGCTACGAAATGAGGCTTTCTAAGCACATACGAGGTTTCTCCTTTTATCAATGTGGGATTCATTTTTAACCATTTGTCACGCCATCAATTTAATGATAAAATTTTAAAATCTCATGATGCAAATGTGAGAAAATTAAAACTTAATAACCTGTTTTAAAAATACCTCCGAACTTAGTAAAACGCAGTTAGCAATTAACCAACTACAAGGTGACACGTTTGTGCGATTTACAATATGTGACGCCTTCCACATGTATTAGTTTATTAATTAACTAAAGCAACTTGCAAGTGGAAGTCACGTAAGTTAAGCTAGATTAATTTACGAGATTTGGCATTTTATGATAAACGTTGACATAAACATACTTATTAATAAGGCTTACATATACTGACAGACTTTGAGCATACACACACACACACACACACACACACACGATAAGTAGTTCAAGTTTTCTAAAGTTTATACCTTTAGAAATATACACCTATTTGATATGTTGACCTTAATTACCTGAGATAAGCACACCAATAGATTGAAAGCACCTATGTATGAAACCAAATTAAGTAGGGCAACTTCAATTATGCTTACTTTTAAATAATAGGTTTGTTATTCACACACCCATATTCTTAGTTCTCCCAACGATCGAAATTAAAAGATATGTGTGAGAAGTAAAAATTGATGTACGGATAGCAGTACCCGATAATATTGAGAGGTTCTTAGGTGCCTTGGCATGCCAGTTGACTTAATTACATTAGGAATATGCTATTAATTATGTGATTCTTTTATTTTAAATTTTGGTTAGAAAATACGGGCGTACAAGTGCAATATTAAGACAATGTGTTTTTTCCTTTCTTTTTTCTCAGGAATATGAAAATCTTAACCTAACGGACCATTGCTCCGTAGCTATCTAACATCTGTCAACAAACTCTTAATTTTTTTTTTGTATTTATCTTCTGTTGATGCACAAAATCAGCGAGGACTTTGGTACAACAGAAAGTGTTAAGTTTGTGACATTCGCTAGATTGCTCTAGTCACTAGTGTGGATAAGTATGTAAATGGATAGAGACAGGGAAGCAAACACAAGATGTACGTGGTTCACCCAGATTGACTACGTCCATGGAGTAGAGGAGTTCTCATTAATTGTGAAGGGTTTACACAAGTACATAGGTTCAAGCTCTCCTTTTGTGAGTACTAGTGAATGATTTAGTACAAATGACATTAGGAAATATTGTGAGAGAATGATCTCTTTTTATAGAAGAGAGTTTCTAGTTTCATTCTGACATTGACACGTGTCGTGTTGTGATTGGCTTCTGATGTTGACACATGTCGCGCTATGATTGGCTTCTGATGTCGACACATGTCGCGCTGTGATTGGCTTCCTGATTGGAGGGAAACTCTTCTGGGTCCTTGACGGTATAACGTTGACCGGTGCTCAATAGTTTCGGGATTGGTCAAGTATGGTACAAACAGTGCTCCCCTAAGTTCCCGAGTGAGGAAAGCTCCTCGGTTAGGGACTTGCAAGATCCAAGCCATTGAGTAATCACGAAACTTCTAAGTACCGAAGTGTGGTATCATTTTCACTTGCCTTATCTGTCTCATATGTAGATGTGGCATCTTCTCTGGAAGTACTTTTCCTCCATTTAGGGGTGGTATCTTTAACCGATGAAGATACACAAGGTAATATATCAATTTCACTTTAAGCTTACTTGTAGTTTCGGGCTTGGTCAAGTGCGATACAAACCCTATAGTAGGAGTCCCCCAAGTCGCTGAGCTAGGAGATTTGCCGAATGCGGTGTCTTGCTAGTAGCCAAGTATGGTACAAACATCTTCTTTAGTATTTAATTATATAATTTATTGATCTTTACTCTTATTCATTTATTTTCCTTAATTTATGTTGTTTGTACCATACTTCACTACTCTCGAAACTACCAAGCACGGGTCAATTCCATACATTCAATGACCCACTGAATAGTTCATGTGGAGGCACCCCTACCAAAGCACACAAGTTCCTCTCCAATCAAGAGACAATCACAACACAACATTTGTCAACATTAGAATAAACTCCTAGAGTCCCACATCAAATGGGGAGCGGAAGACTCTCCTCAACTATAAACAGGGACCATTCTCCTACAATTAAACCCGGATGTCATTATTGTACTTAAACTTGTCATTAGAACTGACTAATGATGATTATGCTTGAACTTATATTTTGTGTAAACTCTTCACTATTAATGAGAACTCGATCTACCCCGTGAACGTAGCCAAACTTAGGGTAAACCGCGTACATCTTGTGTTTGCTTCCTTGTCTCTATTTCTTTACATATTATCATCACTAGGTGATCGGAGCAACTGAGCAAAGGTCACAAACTTGACATTTTACGTTGTTCTAAAGTCTCGCTGATTTTGTGCATTAACACATGTTTTATTTAGTCAATCTAATTAAGTCCAGAAATCAAAAGAAGTACGCATGGAAGAAAAGTAATATGTGAAAATCACTTCTTTAAGCTTAGGCAAAGCACTTCTGAATTTGGTTGGTTGAAGTGGGTTTTTGAAGTTTATGAAATACTAATCATGCTAATTCGTGTCGTCGAAGCTCAAACAATTGCCACATAATTGGACCGACCATATATTTCTTAAGGTCAAGTTAGTAAGATTAGTTGAAATCAGCTATGTGAAATATATATAATAAGTACAATTATTTGTTTCGTGTTTTCCACGGAAAAACAATGTCAATGAATTAAGGCCACACTGCTTAAAATGGAAGATGGTTATTTCTGGAATAAAAATAGAGGAACAATCGGTGCTTAGTCTTTTAGATCATTTGGTCAACAAAGATGACCTAAAACATGAATTCGTTATGCTTTAACCATCATTCTACTCCCTTCACAAAATTATT